CCAAAAGGTACTCGGGTACAAATAAGCGAATGACAGCTCTCTACTCTTCTAGACAAGCAGAACAGCATTAATACAGCCATCATTTTCAGGGTTATTTGTAACTTGTGCATATTTTCCTGCATTTAACGTACACGAGCAAATGAGAAACAAGCAACATGTAGAAATCATCTGTTTTAATTTAAAAATGAAAAAAGATTGTTGAAAGGATGAACATACCCCACACAACTTTTCCAGCTGGGGTGACCAGACCAAGTTCACTAACATTCACCTGGAATTGTCACCAAAAAGAAAAATGGATGTTAAGCATGAAATGATAAGCTGAAATCAAAGAACGCTTATATTTTGTAAGCAAAAATACCTCAATAACGGTTCCTTTTGTTATAACGCCAAGAGAGGTATACATAGGACCATTAGGGTTTTTCTTTACCCCGATAATTTCTAAATTGAAAGTACATTTAAGTTCAGGGTGAGTCACGTGGGCTTTGGTAAATCGTAACCCTGAGGGACGGATGAAACGCTCATATTTGGGAGGTTTCCTTGTAAAACTTGCTCCTACAAACGTGGCTTTAGTGATCATCCTTTTCCACTGCTTAGCTGCAACGTAAAACCATTGGGAGGATAAGGAGACAAAAGAATTTACCAGGTAACTAAATCCAAATGCAAATGACCTAATAAGCAAAATCCTATAAATCGCAGAACTAACAAGGATTATAGAGCATGCTTGGCTAAGCTTAAAAAGTTAACTCAAGTATATTAAGTTTGTTTTAAAATAAATTTCCTTTTTATAGTAGAAGTTGGAAATAAGTAAGTAACTTATTTTCACAATAATAAGAATTACTTCCAGATAAGTAACTTTTATTAAGCTTAGCCAAACATGTCATCACATCACTTACTCTTCCGTTTCCCAGATCTGATCACTCTAAACATCTCATCTTCAGCTACAGGTCTGACCTAAAAAGTCAAAAACGAAATAAAATCCAGTCACTGACTTGTTGAATTACAAGGTAGCCATACTGCTCAGTCAAACTAGTATGCGAAAACATATCATATTTACACCTCAGTGACGCAAGCCGGGACTCTTATTTGCACATTTTAAAACTGGGTACAAGAAAGAAGCACCATCCATTCCAAATGGATAACTTAAGGAAAAAAAAAATTATCGATATTTTGTTTGTTTTTCAAGTTTACTTACGGATTTTATGGTTCTTTATCTAAGCATGTAACAATAGCAATCACGATGAAATATAAGATTATTGAAGATTAAAATGACTAAAAGCCATGTACAAGACAAAAAATAAATAAATAAATAATCTTTTTGAACAATTAGAATTAGATGATAACAAGTTTAAAAACTAGAAATTACAACGCTTCAACCTCTAGTCAAGCCTCGGAACCCAAGCACTGATCACGGAACTCTTCTTTTAGCACCTTCTATAAACAAACTATTTTTTTAAAAAATAGATATCACAGCTTATGCTGCAGAATAAAACAGTCAGTAAAGTCCCTAAAATAATTTTTAGGTTAAATTTCATACAGCGTTGTCTCTGACTGTGTTCTTCTTGATCCAAGAAACTAATTAATACTATCATGAATTACAAGCTTAAAAAATTTGTAACTTATTTTCCAGACAGCGCATGCAATTATTCTCAGCTGACGACTTCGTATATTTACAAATGAGGCATCATATGTTCTAATAAACGCAATCTTTGTTTATTACTAAGGAGGGTGCTACTGCCTATTCTTGTATCTTCCTTTACACCGCATTCAATCTAGATAAGTCACTGCAGTGTAACATCTAAAATTGTGGTAATAAACATATAAATTGCAATGAATAGGGGCTTCCTACTTGATGAGTTCCATATTAACCGCTGAAAAATATGGGGAAAGTCCTATAGATTAAGCAGCATCCCTGAGAACTGAAAGTAGTACAGTTGTCCTACCTTAGGTAGCGGCACTTCCCATTTTCCAGCTTTCTCTTTCCTCTTTTGCTTGACAGTATTGCTAAGAACCTGCAGCACAGTGCGATGTCACGTTCACTAAAAGTACAAACATAAAGCAGATTTTACCCCCAATCTACCGTCATAAGGGAGAAGCGAGACATAAAGCAAATTTAGTATAAAATCACCTTTGCTCTTGTTGTTGCATCACGATCAAGAAGATAAGCAGGAACAGCTCCTTCTTGGACATCATCATCAACCTTGCGCCTAGTTGAAGACTCCTCATGCATGGCCAATCTATTGAAAATCGGAGCATTTGTGAGCACAAGGCAAAGGTAATGATTTTGCAAGAATTTTAGAATATAATATCAAAATAATATGTGCAGATAAGCTGAATGAAGAAGCATGCTATAAAAAACAATGATTCATACAAAAAATTGGGCAGTTTTACATCCATTTAGAAAAGGAGAAAAAAAATAAAGAACCTACTTTTACAACTCCATCAACAGTTCCCAGAAATAAGGACAATTAGGATTTCAACTCCCTTCCAATCCAATCCAGCCCACCCCACCCCGAAAGAGAAATGGAACAAAAACAAAATTTTAGTAAAAAATACCAGTATCATACATACTGAAAATATATACACGAACACACAGACACAGTCACATAAGTAATCCTAGTAGTTGTCTACTAGATATGGAATGCCATTAACGTGACTCGACAATAAAGATAACAGTCCACTAATATGTCTTAAGACCTTGTTCACTTCTACAAAATCATATACCAAGGTTAAAAATGCTGCAATGTCAATCAAACTGACATCAACGGCGTGAGTAACCACAATATTTCAATAAAAAAAATAGTAATAAAACCAGAAAATTAGCATGGCTAGTATTGTTTTCATTTTCTACTTCTATATGATACCAGGGTCCTTAAAATCTTAAATAAACCCAGAAAGTTAGCATGGCAGGTATTGTTTCAGTTTATGGCGTATATATTCTTCAAGGGTTCTTAAAACAAAATATCAAAGAATAAACCAAATCCACTACTACAAAAATTCCAAAATAAAAGAATACATCTTATGAAGCTTATAATTTCATTGTGATCCTACATAAACAATCCCAAAAATTTACATCATTAACTAAACGAAAAACTGAATTTAGAACTGCAAAAGAAACTCACGTTTTCTTCATTAGGGCCTTCTCAGCATAACGTTTCTTAGCAAACATCTTGCCCTTAATACCCAAAGCCTGTTCAACTCAATTAAGCACACTAATTTCAAATTTTTTTCTCAAAAAGGGTAAAACTGAAAGGAAGAGGTCAAAAAGAGGAACCTTTTGGGCAATCTGAGAGCGCTTGTGAACTTCTCGCGCCTCCTTCTTGCGCTTGCGCTCGAAGTGATCATGACGGTAGCCATTTCTCTTCCTGTGAAGCTCTATGTAATCTCCTTGCGGCTGTTAATGGTATAATAGTTATCAACACAGTTTAATAACAAAATGCACATGTTACGGAACAATTGAAAACATTGGGAAAATCAAATATCAATGCAGTTCAACAAAAAATCGCAAATATTACGAAGAATTAAGGGGGAGAAAAAGAGTAGAACTCGACGTACCATGGCGGATAAATTTTGAGAGGAAGAGGGAGAAAAAAATAAAGATTTAGGGTTTTCCAAATTTTTTAAGTGGAGCGACTTCACAAAACCCACTCTTGGAGTCGGTTTGAGTCCATTTGACCCGGCTCAAACATTGATTGAAAAATTACGCAAGTAGCACTAATTGGACCAACTTTTTATGTTGACTTTAACGAATCGAATTCAACGGTTCATTTTAATTACATATTTTATAAAATTCATAATTTTTTAATTACGCATATTATTAACTTTTATTAAAATTTACTAAAAAAATTAATTTTAATATCCACCAAATAGGGACAAATATATATTGGTTATCCAAACATAATAATTATATGACAACGTCGATAATTATATTGTTGAGAATAATTCAAAGTGCTTTAGTCATCAAAAAATAAAAAATAGATATGTAAATTTTAAAATTGTGAGCAATCTATAAATCAGCCTCTTACTTGTCTAATATTTGAGTCAACTCAAATTTCAAATTGCAATTTTTGGATGAGATTATGTCAATGTAGTACGAAGTCTTAAATTTAAGAGATGTGCTATGTGTACATTATGAGATCCATAATGCACACATGTTAGACTCCTATTGGGGTGTCTGCCATGTGTGCATTATTGGGGGGCGGGGGAGGTCTGTCGTGTGTGCATTATGAATCTCATAATTTACACATAGAATAATTCTAAATTTAATTGTTCGTGTCTGTAGGATGTCGTGGTTCCATTGGACGTTAGTTCATTATTTGAAGATGTAAATTATGGTACTTGTTGTTTCATCCATGCAATGAGAATATGGCGAGAATTGATTGAACATATTCATAGTTTTTTTTCTTTCGCCATGTATTCGTGATTATCTAAATAAATTAATATTTGTAACCTGTGTATTCAAAAAAAAATTTAATGAAAAATTAAGTACAATGACTTCATTTTGCCATCGTTTGGCAAATATATAAATGATTTATAAATAATAAAAGTCATAGGAATAATGTATTATTTGAGTTGAAATTTCTAAAAAACTTTAATTGAATACGTAGAAGTTTTATAAAAATCTCTATTGAATATAACAATACTTCTAGAGGGTCTTTAAAAATTTACTGATTGGATATTTCTAAATTTTTTAAATTCTTAAAAGTTTTTGAAAGTGTTAATTGAATACACTCGTTAAAGTTTGGGACATTAATGTAACACGTGAAAGATTGGGACATGGAGGAATCTTATACTATATTAAAGGAGGATAGCTCTGCAACAGTGTTCATCCTAATTAACATGATAATCTCATGTTAGATATGACTGGGATGCTGCAACAGCAACTAACTCTCAATTAGCATATGTTCATTTAATATAAATTTGTGCATCGCACCTTGCATCGCGGTCAAAGACTAGTTTACCCTATAAATGAATAAAACCGGAGAGAGGAAAATGTACAAAGAATGAGAGCTAGCACCTCCACCTGGAACGTCGGCGTGGTTGGATTGCGCCGCCCATCACCTCCGGCGGCGGCTTACTGTCATTACAATTACCCTCTGCGCCTTTGCCACCAGCTCAACTTCCCATATCACCACGGAAAGAAGTGGAGATCAGCACTCACAAGTGTATCTATAGCAGAAATCCGCAGAGGCCGTACCGAAGCAAATTCAAATGCAAAGGCAACGTCGTCTTGGGATGAGAAGCCCTACGAAGTATTGCCGAGTGGGAAAATAGCTTATTTGGACGAACAAGATGTGGTCGCATTTCTAGACCCTCCCCGAGAGCTCATTCCATTGGACCCGTCTTCTTACAACCCCGCCGCATATCTATGGTATTTTTATTTTTTTCAGTAATATAGCGCTATGTAATGACTAATTAGGGGATAATTATGATTATGATTGCTTTATATTTTTATTGTATTCACTGTATTGAAATTATGAACGAGAGATATCATGGAGTTTTAAAAAATTACTAACGGACAAGTATTTTTTGACATTGATTGCACAATTCTCGATTCTGGAAATATTGTTGAAATTTACAGTATTGATCTGGGACTGGGTTTGTTTAGAGTATGTGGGCTAAGCTTAAGTTTATAAGAGTTACTTAACAGAAGTAATCTTTTTCTTACTTCTCAAGTAAAAAAGTACTTTAAGATTGCTGCGGAAGCTCGCTTCAAGATGTTCGAAACGGTGACTATCGCCCTCAGTTTCATATTACTTTTTTCTGCCGAACAACCAATCTAAACAGCTCCAACCCGCACAACCAATATTCACTTATGTTGTTTCTCAATCTCAACCACAAAGGACAAGATATCAGTATTGATTTGCAAACCACAAAGGCATGAGAAAACCAATAATGAGGCACAAAAGAAGAAGAGAATAACAAGAGGAAGTCACCGGTTTTTGGAACACCAAAGCAACACGTTTTTCTCTCACAATTAGACCTTCGCGTTTTCTCCAATATTTTACAAATCACTCACTCTAAAAATGGCTGGGGTAAGCAACCTATATACAGGAATAGGTTAGATTCTAGTTGGGCAAAGAAAGGGATAAATGGGCGAGAATCAAGAGCCGTCCAATAGATAAATATATGGGGTGTGAGCAACATAATTTTTAAAACTAATTCCAACGGTCCACGTTGTTTTCGGGTCAAGCTTTTAGACTTGGTTTTTGGTAATCAATTCACCATTGGTCAAAGCCTATGAAAATATATTTCGACGTTTTACATCATCGCCCGAGATTTATTGGGTATCAAAAAGACAAAAACCCAACAAAGATTAAAGAAAGTTTTCAGAAGTAATCTTATGATACCGTATAAATAAGTAACTAGCTTATTCTTAACTTTGAACAATAAATATATTATTTTATTTGAAATATGCTTCTTTACTTATAAGCGAACTTTTTAAGCTCGGCCTAACATGGTGTAGGCAGTTATTCAAATAATTCTTAACAATCAGGAATGTCTTAGGATGATTTTTTATGGAGAGGAAATTCATTGCAATTTTAGTACACGTTCTCGTGATTTTAATGTCCTTATTTTTGTGGTATAAGATTACTGGTTCCAAATAATATTGGAGGTTTGTTCCTTAAAATTAGGAGATGATTTCGATTATGGAAATTTTAGGCAATTTTAGTACATATGTTTTTAATGTGCTTTGTGCTCTATTTTGATGTATACATGGACAGGAAAAAAATTGAAGATATACCAGAGGAAAGGCGGCATCGGCTTCTAACCTTGCTAAAACCCAGGTTTATGTCACATTTTTGGCTGATTACTGAAGGAAACTCCTTTATGATTAGATATTTCAGATTTTTTAAGAAGCTATGATCTTTATTTATGTGAAATTTTTGAACGAGTTACACAAGTTAATAGCGTGTGCATTTGGTGTTGCCATGTTGGACACCTCTAGGCAATAGTAATTGGAATCCAGAATTTTTAGGTAATTTGTTAGGTGGCCTTTTCACGAGAAAGATTATTTCTTTGGCTAGATTCCTACCTGGCTTCTCCATGAAAATAAAGGGAAGTGTTTAATCTGAACATGGAACTATTCGGAGATGGTGAAAAAGGCCTTGTTGTAAGGCGCCAGTTGGAGGCGGTAAAGTTTTAAAATCTTATCAACACTTGGCTTTTTCTTCCTCGCATATTTCTCATTGTATTTAGGGTCTTTCATGATAAGAATAATGAAAAATTCCAATCAGCCAGTGAGCTTCTCGGTCAACTATTTCCTCAGTTTACTCTTCCCTTCCTTCGCATCAATTCCTGAGAAACTTTTGCTGTTACATGAAAAATATCCACTGCTTTGTTTTGCCTGACTTCTACCTTTGGCCTTCTATATTTGTAATAGATAATTTGAATAGGAGGAGGGATACTAATTATGATACCCGTTTCACTCTCTCTTTTTTCCTTGGACTGCTTCTAGACTTATATCGAGGGCCTGGGAGATAGCTGGCACACGATATGATGATGCCAAGTTGGCGAATAAAAGTGCATCTAGCTTGCTCTCTAATCAAAATGGCATAAGTTCTCTTGAAATGTGGAATTGCCGAACCAGTGGAGGTAATTCACGTGAATTTGGCAAAACATCTTTGAATGTGATCTATAGTAATCATTTTATTACTTCAATTTCATTGTGTCTATGCACAAAACACCATTTTCTCAACAAACCTCCAAATTGATGATACGGAAGAAATTTCGCAGAGAAGGAAAACAGTATAATTGTCATTTGCTCACTTTTGGAATAAAAAGTGCGAACAAGTTAAACCGAGCTGAAGTAATTTTATAATTTATAGCAAAATTGGGTGTCATGTACTACTTATTATTTCTAACTACTCATGTACTGTGAGCATCTTTAATTTCCTCTGAACTTCACCGTTGAATTTTCTGTATGGCTCATGGTTAGACATATATAGTTGCCATCTTTATGAAGATGATACAATTCTATTTGCATGGTAATAAGTTGAAGAATTTTGTGACAATATACTATTATGGTACAGGACCTTTTCCTATTTCTTGGATCAAATTCTTCCAGATGGTAATTTTTTGCTTCTTTAAGCAGTCTTCTTATCTGTTATATCGAACTTCCTGATTTACGCATGTTTCAGTTATTATTTTCTTCCATGGACCTCTCATATATGAGAGTTATTTTAAAAATTGTCTTTCCTATTGAATTTGCCAGGCCTTATTCCGCTACAAAGATGGGAACACATATGGACGTCTTATTGGTAAATTGACCGATGATTAAGTCTACTTGCAGCAAATTATTTTCATAGAATCTGAAATTTACTTCATCAAAGTTGTCTCAGTTGACACATAGCTGACGCTGCATATCTAGTTATTTTTTAGGTACAGTAAAATCTGCTAATTGAGGTCACGTGTGAAAGTTCATAACAATTCAAGACAAAGAAGATACTTGTTTGTGCCTTGAATAGAATTGAGAAGTATATAAATTAAAAGATGACTTTTCTTTAGCGTGTATTACTTCTCCATGACCACCTAGGCATGATGATGCATCTGGCAGATCAAATGTTTGTTGTATGTAAATTTTTGTTCCCTTTTCCTTCCTTTTGGTGTCTCTAGTAAAGATTTTCTTGATTTCATATATGACCTTTCTAAAAAATAAATAAATAAATTGGCAAAACACCAGCTAAGTGTAGGCAGGATTTTAGGGTCTCCACCTAAACTTTGTGCGTGTGTGCGTGCATTTGGGGCTTGTGTTGGGCTGGAGGGTGTGTTTGGATTTTCCGATCCTCTTTGTTTTATGTAAAGGGGGAGAAAAACAAGAAGCATACATAGAAGATTGAATCATGCAGCTAGCATTTTGGGAGCTATTACATAGTGTAATGAGGTTGTCACTCAGGTGGATCTCTCCTGGCTGGAATTTTCAGCTCCTTTTCGCCTTTGTATTTTACCGTTAGAGAAGTGAATGAGGTGTTGTCAACAGAGCAGCCTTGTGATTTATCATATGAATTTGGAGATGGCCTCCTGAACCTTTCAGAATATCCACAAGGATTCCCCAAGCCAGGTATCTTTATTTTTTGGTACTTTGTGGTTTCTGAAGCATGTAGTTTCAATCTTGTGCTCATAGCATCTTGTATGTTCTAGATGCCATTTGAGTTGTTTCTAGTTATCACTGACTTAGTATTGGTTAATCATTTCAGCAATGCATCCTTGGCCGTTCAACGATCAAGTTGTTATATATATTCGTCATGTGGGACCTGGGGTTCTGATCGGGCAGGCATGGCAAGAAGGAGAATCACTGCAACAGGTACCTAAAAAGTTATGTGGTGAGATCTTAATGGTGAAAACATGAATTATATTTCGAGTAAAAGGAATTGAGAAAGCTCTTCCCAACGATTTGTGAAGTTCCTTAATCTGTATGATAAAACGGTTTGTTTCTTTGTTTTGTCATATGACATTTTGTTTCGCTCTATCCAGCAATGGACACTATTTACATAATTTTTTATAGTTTTATTATGTGTTAAAAAGAAATTGAAGAATTTTTTTTTCTTTTTGTGGGTTAATGAGATTTTAAGCCAATCAAATATCGCGACATCATCTGTTTGTAAATCATGTAGCACAATCCATCTAAGCAATATTCAACCAATTTGGTTGCAATGTCAAATGGGATTTAACTCGAGTTTTCTTCTAAATATTCTCCTAGACATATATGGAAAGAAGAACTAGATTATTTGCTGTTGTGAAAAACATTAATACACACTCCATTATTTTTTCATTCCAAAGTATCTTTAACCACAAGAATTTAGATTTACCTGTATTTCGAAAATTGATAGAGAATATCGATCCGGGTAATGAGAGACGACGAAGATCATCAGTCGGAGATAAAAATTAATTAAATATTTATTTAACCGAAAATTTTGATGGTGAATCGATTAACATTGAGATGAACCGGGTGGTTATTGAGATGAACCGGGTGGTTATGAGATTATTTTAACAATGAATGAACTGGTTCGGTCTGATTTTAATTATTACATTGATTTTTGTGTAAATTGTTGCTTTTAATCTTTATACCACCCTTATTTCTTGGCACACGTATCCTTATCCGTTAGCAGATTGTCTTGGATGACAGTTTTCATCCGAAGTTTCTGTTAAAATAACTTAAAATGTC